TATCGCGCGTAGAATGTAAGTTTGCTGTGTTAGAAATTTAAAGTCGCATCGTGAAATTCGGTGGATTAATCGATTACCTCATAAAAACTCCAATATTTCAATTAGTAATAGTACGTTTTCGCGAAAAGTATCATGCTATCAAGAGCATCCTCGGGTGTTTCAAGAAAAATCGTTATCTCTTCCACACAAATGAGTCGATTATCTTTGCGAAGGGTCAATTTGACGCGAATTCATTCGTCAATTAAAAATTCTCCAAGTTTAATACCGGCTCGATGTTTCTCTTCAACCTTGAGAAGGTACAATTCTCTTGCACCGTTAGATACTTTTCCGCGTAGACACAATGGTTCTTCCGATGCTGAAATTAGAGAAATGCTCGGTGTCATTGGTGTCAAAGACATGGAGGAATTGGTATCAAAAACAATTCCAGCCAATATTCGTTCCACAAAACCGCTCGCACTGAAGGAAGGACTCACCGAAAGCGAGCTGTTGAAGCGATTGAAAAGTATTGCATCGGAAAACAAACTTTACAAGTCATACATAGGAATGGGATATACAGGCACGATCGTACCAACGGTTATATTAAGAAATATCTTGGAATCACCCGCATGGTATACTCAAGTAAGCAAGTCACTATTTCTTTCGATTGGACTATGCAACCAGAAAGGACTTTTACGTAAAGAAGTGACTTTCATTGGTTTGCAGTGAACCATTCGCCGTGCGAATGAGCAACTTGGAAACTTATTATTGTGCATGATTTCCGTCGTATTTTGCATGCAGTATACACCGTACCAACCCGAAATTTCACAAGGTTCGTCTTTGATCAATTGAAATCACTCGTTTTTCAAGAGTTGGTATTGATACTTTATGATAAATTTCTTAGGTCGCCTGGAATCTCTATTAAACTTTCAGACCATGGTGATTGATATTACGGGCATGGAGATCTCGAATGCTTCGCTTCTTGACGAGGGAACCGCAGCTGCAGAGGCCATGATAATGTCTTTTCACGCTGGTCAAAAGAAACGACCCACGTTTTTCGTAGACAAGAGATGCTACCCTCAGACTATTGCATGCCTGGAAACGCGTGCAGAATGTTTGGGCATCAATATCGTCGTCGGAGACGTGTTGAAGCACGACTTTGAACCTCACGGCAAAGATTTATGTGGCGTCTTGGTTCAAGTAATCATCATTCCGATTAGCGATTCGTTATTAAAAAAATTCTTAACGTATATTTAGCTGGGTGCTTTAATTATAATGATCAGTATCCCGCTACGGACGGCTCGATACATGACTATTCTTCCCTGGCAACCAAAATTCACTCCTTGGGTGGTCAAGTGGTCTGCGCTACCGATCTACTGGCGCTCACGATGCTCACTCCCCCGGGCGAATGGGGAGCAGATATCGCCGTCGGAAATAGTCAACGTTTTGGTGTTCCACTAGGTTATGGAGGTCCGCATGCTGCTTTCTTTGCTTGCAAAGATGATCACAAACGAAAGGTGCCCGGTCGCTTGATTGGTGTATCGCGCGATTCATCGGGAAATAAAGCATATCGATTATCGTTACAAACCAGGGAGCAACATATCAGGAGAGAAAAAGCGACGAGTAATATTTGCACGGCTCAAGCATTGTTGGCGAACATGGCTGCAATGTACGGAGTCTATCACGGACCTGAGGTGAGATTGAGTATTTTAATGGTATTGGTATATCACGATTGACCGCATAATTTATTATTTTTATTTTTTTTAATTTTTTTTTTTCGTCTAATAGGGTGTTAAAGCCATCGCCAATCGTGTTCACAATCTGACTAAAATTCTAGCTGCAGAAATCAAGCATCTTGGTCACAGGGTCATAACGGAACATTTTTTCGACACTTTGAATATTCATGTTGGAAATTCCGAACATATTTACAAAAAAGCATTAAACGCCAACATCAATCTTCGGAAAGTCGATGAGACCACCATCGGCGTTACGCTGGATG